ACGATTTGATGCAATACCACCTATCTATCCATGCAATGAGCAACATGTACTTGCAATAACCATCTTACCATTTCAACAATTCCCCCATCCTTCCCCCTCAAATCATTCATAATTCATAAGGGAAGGCACCGATCAAGTTACACCTGATCGACCAACACTGATCCAACACTGATTTGGATTTAATTAAGGGGGTATTCCTATTACCTTACTTGTTATGTTGCTGCTGCCACATATTTTACAGTTGGAAATGCCACGAGGCATTTGGTCCAACTGTAAAATATTATCATATAGTATAATAAACAGTTGATAAACATATTCTAGAAACCATTCCAATCTATGTATGTGTATGTGTACCCGAATAAATAAGAGGCTTAAGAGTCCAAATATATTGAAAATGAAGATGTGTGCGCGGCTGGTTTGAGTTTCTCCTGAAGTTTAAAACGTTTATTTTTAATTTCTTTTGTTTTACGATATCCTTTCTCTCTAGAAAAGATGGAAAACTTGATAGAAAAACTCTTGGATCGAGGAATAAATCCAACAAGAAATTGCATCTGACCTGCGAATGATGTTAAGACCAGCAATCAAGCCTGGACATCAAAGTGACTGTACCGTAACACAAAATAACTCTTGATAATTAAGACATGAGGATAAGCATGTATAAAAGATACCATATGGCCACTACTAAACATACTTGTTTCACATTGACTACCGGTGTACCCATAAGGACAGGAACAGGAATATCCTCCATTATAACGATTGTAACAAGTTCCTCCGTTACGACAAGGACTACTTGCGCAAGTATTATTGCCATCTGAAAGTAAAAAATATGAATTTTTACTAAATTTTTCCAAGCGACCCAACCATAAATATAACATAGCTTTCAAGTGTAATAATTTAAATGATAGTGCTTTATGATTTATAGAGCGCCCTTTTTATATGTATATATGCGCTTACAAACATGAGGTGGTTAGTATGAGTGGAGCACAAGTGTTTCTATATGTCCTCAGTGGTTCTTTGAAGACCTTCAGATATTGCTTAGTGATGATGAAGTGTAGAGATGGGACTGTCATGTAAATTAGTCATCCGAGCCACGTGAAGGTCTAACCATTTGTAGTTGTTTTTACAGAGGCAGCACTTTCTCCTTACTCTGATTATTGATTCGACCGGGGCTCGATCCACGACCTCCCGCACTAAAGTCCGATACTCGACCAACGAGCCAACCGGCTAGCGGAAAGTATGACGTCTTTCGTATAATCATTTATTAAGATTATACACTTGGCAGTCGTGAGACTGAATAACATGTATAAAACAAAATTTATGCTGCGAGTTGTTCACCAAGTAGCTGTATAAATTTACATAATAAAGAAGGGTTAAAAGAATACTAAAAAAGGAATACTTTGGCACGGATCGAGTCAGATTGGGAGCAACTCGAAGCAAAAATTAATTTTTTAGCCTTGATAATGGAGCCAGTATAGTATGAATTCGAAACGTCAAGAGAGCTAAAATCAACACTTAAAGTTCAATCTGTTCAATTTTATAATAATATCTAAAAACTGATATATTATAATATAATATTAAAGTTACTAAATGAAATAATATTGGTAACAAATGTAAGCCCAGATAGGCTGAATGTATCATATACCCCCCAGGGGTTAACCAACTTCGAAAGACTACCTGCGCCTGCGTGTCACTACATGTGCTCATACAAGTGCTTACGGGTATACCATATAGGTAAGTATATAATGAACATTTTTGTTATTTGGTTTCCATGGCAACGACAAGACTAACTTTCTTTTCTCAGATCATTAATGATTCATAAACGAAGCACCAACAAGGTACACCTGGTCGGCCAACACTGATCCAACACTGATTTGGATCTAATTGGCTAATTAACATAGAACTCTAAGTTACGTTTAGAATTGTCACTAGCTAATCAGAGATCTCAGAAAAAATCTGAGTCCATCTGAAAGGAATTCACAGTAAAGTAAAGTTTTTTAAATCTTAATAAGCAATTCTAGGCGAATACTTTAATACTTAGTCTTAGAGTGAAATATTCCCCCTAAAAAGTTCTGAAATATTTTGGAAGCCTAGTAGTATATCCAACTTCGGATTTCCAATTCGCCAACTCTCTTTAAGCCTTTGTTCGGGGCTACGCTTTCGTGCTTTCATTATTTTATCGGATCGTGTGATGACATCCTCGCAGTATTGATATTAGCTTACCTGTTACATTTCCGTTGCCACAGTAGCGATAGCTACAGCCTGGTGGTTTGACAAGCTCGTACACGTAGAACCCTCCACAATTTTTGACACGAATAGTGTTGTTCCGGAAACAGCAGTTACTATCCCAGGAGTGGTAGTGATAGCATACCGTACGAGTCACGATACCCTCTGCTTGGGTGGGATGAGAACCTTGCATCCAACCTGGACCATAAGTTCCGCAGTGGTATCTATCAACACACGATGTTGCTATGGTAGTCCCAGCATCTCCCATGAAGCGATACCATCCAGGGGTGATGTCGTTCCTATCACAATAGTAGCTTGATCCATAATAGTTTGCGGCTCGGTCTGATGAGCTCAGCACGGTGTAGTTTTTGCATTCAAAAAAAGTATCTAGAAAGAAACCCAAACAAGAATTGGAAAAGATAATGAAACTCGAATCATCCAATCAGGTTTGACGAATCAATTATTGGCTCAATAATTAATACTTAATGTGCACCAAAGCTCACGAAGCACTCTGGGAAAATGGGACAGCGAAATCAAAGGAAATATCAGAAAAAAATAACTCTTTTATTTTCGTCTGTTAAAATATATACATTTCATTAGACATGCATTGTGAACAGAAAAATTGTGATGAATTCTTAGAAAAATTCTTAGAATTCCCATCATGCTTTGCGCTACGTGCTAGTTGGATATGACTTTTTATTATCTTCAGAATGTTGCTTCTTTTTTTACTCTCATTAAAGCGATTTTTAAATGTAAAATTAGCTTGACTAATGCAAATCGCCGACAAATCGCACAAATAAAAAAATTGGAAGAAGGAGGTAAAAGGCAGAGGAAAAGGGGAAGAAATCTCGACATCTTGGAATAGAATACACATACCACATGTTTCGTTAAACGAGACCAACCCATCTCTACAGCAAGTACTGTCCTTGTAATTTGTTAACGAGGCACGATCTGCCCAATATGCTCCTTTCAAGGGACTAGTATAATAGTCAGGCCTGAGGATTATAGCCATGAATATCGCAGCATTCCCAAGACAGGACGAAGCAGTCTGTTTCTGAGTCAAATTCATTTCACCATACATGACCCCAAAGCTTCCTGTAATGACGTAACGATTGGCTGGGGATGCTATGGTAACCTTGAGTAACTTGAGTGTTAGACCTGAGCACAAGAGTTGACTGGCACCATGATTCAGTACCTATTACGGAAAGCATATATAGATGTTTGGATTTGATGTCCACTTTAAGCAGAAGCTGATATTCCAGAAAACGTCTTGGCCAAAATTCATCTAATTTTATATTTCCACAAATTACTGGTTTGCATGACAACGTAAAATGGCGGCCCAATTGATCTCATTTAGAGATGTTAAACACAGGACACGTTTGTCAGTGCTTGACTGTCACGTGACACTCTCTCTAAATAAAGGCACAAGACAATAAAGAGGAGGAGAAGTAGAAATCTCTCGACCATAGAGTTACTAAATGTACCTCGGTCATGATACTGTTAGCATCGCTTTGTGTAACTGTGATGGTAGATGGTCCAACTGTGTAATGAATGCTAACAGCTGTGTGCCAGCAGTTGGTTGCCTTGGCAACTGCAACTAACAAAAACGTTGTCATATCAGACAAGCATATGACCCGACTTTGAACCTCGCTAAGTATCATGGGCCAAAGATAATGACTTTATACAAATCAAACATTTATAGTGCAAAATAGATTTTAAGAAGATGATTTTAAAACAAACAAACATCAACCATATTAAGGATCCTTGAGTACCATTACTTAAAGTATGCATCAAAAAGGTCAAGCGATGCAAGAAAATAGTCACATGACCCAGAGCTTATTATTGGGTATGACGTCATCCACCATTAAATTTTGATATCATATACATTTTTCAGTTTAGGAAAGCCATTATAGTTGATCATGGGTATGCGTTATCTATTCCAAATGCCTGCAGGAATATTACCTCGAAATTTAAAAAAGCTGAAAATATTAAAGACCTAAAATACCGGAAACAGACAGCATTCGAAATCGGAAAAAAAAACATTTCTCGCATATTTTGATGTTCGTCTTGTCTCCAAATCTTGAGCGCTCTTCGCTCTAGCATGTTTTTGTCCCTTGATATAAGCACGTTAGCCAGCCAATCAGCGTCAGATATTTCTTAATTAATAACATAAACCTACCGGTTTCACAGTGTCTACCAGTGTATCCATAAGGACAGGTACAGTTGTAGCCATAATCTGTATCGGTACAAGTGGCTCCATTACGACAAGGACTACTGACACAGGTATTGTTGCTTTCTGAAACAGGAAATTGCCAACTATTAATCACTTGACTTTTGGGAATTGACTGGGGGGCAATTAATATGCAATCT